TGTCCCTCTGTTCCCCCCGCCCCGCACTGCCCCTGGCATCCCACCTGCACCCACTGACTTTCTCTGGTGAATCCCACCTGAGATTCATCCCACCAGCGCCCCCTGCCCACCTCCGCCGCCCTGTCCTCCAAGAGGCCCCTGGCTGTCCCCATGGGGTGGGACTGCCCCCCACCCTGCCCCCACCCATCTCCTCAGAGCCTCACTGGGGCTGGGAGAGGGTCTCTTTCTTTTCTCAGAACTTCTTGGCTGCCCTCTCGTCTCCCACTCCTTTCTGACTCATGCATACATCCTCCCTGGCACCCAGCAGCTCTGCACGTTAATATTTGTCAAATGAACCAACAAAGACAACGACCATACCCGGCTTTCTCAGTGGCCATTCTGCCTGGGAGTGAAGCGAGCGTGTCTCAGGCTGTCCTGCACGGAATGGACAGACTGGGTGTTGGGGTTACCAACCACTGCGGACCCCCCCTTGCTCCGGAAGAGTCGCTTTTAGGAGATGAACAGGCCCATCTGTGCTTCAGTCAGGATTCTCGGATGCACGCAACAGAAAGCAACTGGGGCTGGTGTGAGCAGTGGAGGATCTGTACAAGGACCCTGGTGGCCCCCAAGTCCCCAGGAGGGCCTGGGCAGTGGGGTTTGTACAACTGCCCTGCAGAGCTGGTCACCATGAGGAGGCTGGGCTGCTCCTTCTGGTGGGGTCCCCAACAAGCAAAGGGGGTAGGTGTGCAAGGGCCAGAAACAATGACAGTGGTCCCTTCACCCCAGGCCACAGGTGTCCCCCTCTGTCACATTCAGGCCAATATCCTGCTGCCACCTGGGCTGTCCAGAGCAGCTGTCTGCCCTCATCTACTGGACCCTCCTGTCCTGCAGCTCAGCCAGCTCTAGCTTCCACCACCCATGCAGCCCCCGTCCTGGTCTGGCTGCAGGGCTGGCCCGGTGGCCTTGACCCTGGCCTGGCTCTGGCTGGTCCCTCCTGGATGCTGCATCCCCCACCTCTCTTGCGGGACTGCCACATCCAGCCCACTGTTCCCTGCTCTTTAGGGACAGAGCCCTGCCCCACCAATACTGCCCTTCCTTTCACGCCCTATGGGAGCCCCGAGTCCCACAGCTGGGATGAGGCCGGGAGCAGCTGTTCAGGCAAATCTGGAAACCAGTTTCATTTTTTAGGTGCAGGCGAAGAATCCTTGGGTTTTTCTTAAGCCTGATGTGGTTTCTTTCCTTGGAGACAGAGGCAACATCAAAGTTTTAAACCAGACTAAAATTGCCAAAGTTTTTAAAGAAGCCATTCAGGGCCAAATGGGTTCCATTCCTCTGTGTGACTGCACATTTAATCATTCATAACTCATGTCTTTAAAAAGCCGCGTGCAGAGGCTGCCGGGTAGACGGCTACATTCCTCGCTCAGTACGCAGCATGTCAAGACAGGAACCTTCCCTCGAGCTGCGCGCAAGGTAGGAACTCGGCGTTGCTGGGGGGTTTCGGAGCAATGGCTTCCCTCTCCACAGCAGGACGGCGCCCCTGAAGTGAGCATACATAGCAGGAACCCCAAAGGCAGAGGGCCCCTCCAGCAAAGTGAGGGTAGGGACAGAACAAAGGGCAGCTGGGCCCCCCACCGGGGACCCTGGGACAGGCGTTTGTGCTTTCTAAGGAGACAAGGGGCACAAGCTGATGTGTCTCAAACTCAGCAAATACCCTCGATGCCCGTGTTTGGTCTGTGCCATGTGGGGCACGGAAAGGCCAGTTCTGCAGCTGTGTATTTTAGGTTTGTAGAGAGAGAATCTCAGACCCCAACACTGGCCTCCTCCCAGCGGGGGTGGTGGCTAAATGGAGAGTTCAGGTCGGGTTCTAGGTCAAGTTCACGCAAATTCCTGAAGCCTCCCTGTCCCCCTCCCACCAGCCAGTCCTGGATGCTGATAGCCGCAGCTTGCAGGCCAAGTCCTGGCCGAAGCCGCGTACACCCATAAATCTATTTTATTTTATTTTATTTTGAGACAGGATCTTGTTCTGTTGCCCAGGCGGCACAGTCATGGCTTACTGCAGTCTTGACCTCCTCGGGCTTAGGTGATCCTTCCACCGTAGCCTCCCGAGTAGCTGGGACTACAGGCGTATGCCACCACACCCAGCTAATTTTTCTATTTTTTGTAGAGACGGGGTTTCCCCACATTGCCCAGGCTGGTCTTGAACTCCTGGGCTCTAGTCATCACCCTGCCTCAGCCTCCCAAAGTGCCGGGATGACAGGCATGAGCCACTGTGCCTGGCCACCGTTAGCCTAATCCTTGTAAATCACCAATGTGGCAGGGACAGAGGGGCTCACAAAGGTTAAGCAACCTGCTAGAGTCACACAGCCCGGGAGTGGTAGAGCCAGGATGCAATCCCTGGCACGCTCATCTCAGAACACGCCGGAGGCATGGTGAGGTCCGTGACCTCTTGCAGAGACCCCAACAGCGGCCCCAAAGGCTGTGGGCAACCCATGTCTGTGGAGGCCTTGAGACCCTCGGCCAGGAGCCCCGGCTGCAGGTGGGCTTCCTCAGTGTGTCTGCCTCTTTCAGGCTCCCCAGGAGTAGCTTTGGGGGCTCTCATTGGGCATGCGTGAGTCCCACGACTTGGACAGTCCACCCCACGCTAATGCCCAACAGCACGGGGGCCCTGGGAGAGCAGGTGTGGCCATCGTCACCGTCACTGAGTGGACGACTCCCGCAACGGGGCATCATGGACTGGAGAGCACATGAGGTGCCCCCGGCAGTGCCAGGCAGGCTGTGAACAGTCTGCTGAGCTGCCTCTCCTCCCCACGCCAGGTCCTCCTTGGCTGAGGGGCTGGCATCATTCATCTGAGTGCGGGCTCGACCCACACTCAATCCTGAGCCCCGACTAAGAACCACTGACATCCTTAAGGCACGGATGATATCATTGCAGGGGGGCGGAAAGATGGTCATGACTCCAGTAAATGATTCTCAGCATTCCTCCTTTCAAAGAAGCCTATTTTTTTCTTTTCTAAAACACACCTTTATTGAAGTACAATTTATATACCACAAATTCAGCCATCTTACGCAGACAATTCAATGATGTTTAGTAAATTCAGTAATTGTACAACCATCACCATATCGAGTGGTTTTATTTTTTTGGGACAGCATCCCACTCTGCTGCCCAGGGTGGAGCGCATGGGCGCTCTCTTGGCTCACTGTAGCCTTCACTTCCTGGGCTTAAAGACGCCTACTTTTGCATGCATTTTATAACACATAGCGCAGTGCTGTAGAGGTCTAATTTATAATTAATCCTGCAGGAGCACCTCCAGATTGTTGTACTGGCAGGGGCAGGACCAAGAGAGTTGGGGACGACTGTTCCGGCGGTGGAGAGTGCCCAGAGCCCAGGGGAGTTATGTTGGGGGCGGGCGTGGCAGAGGACCCTGGAGTTCCCCAGCCCATAGGAATGCCTGCTCCTGCCTCCCTGAGGTCTGGCTGCCCTGAACAGGGTCCCTTCAGTTGCCATGATCCGTCCCTGGTGGGCTGAGATGCTTCTGTCCCCGATGAGCTCCCGGTGTCTCCCTGCATGGCCTGGTCCATTTCAGGCATGCGAGTGTCCCTGTGAGGTGTCAACCACGGCCTGGCATTTCCTGTGTGGTCAGGATGTTCCCCCTGTGCCTCCTTCCAGGTCAAAGTTGACGTCCTCTAGAGTGAAAGCACTCAGCTTTCTGAGAGTCCCCTCTCCCTGCCCCTGCTCCATCTAAAGTCCTGTCTCTCTAGGAGTCAGCTGTCTGGAGCCCCCAAGATGCTCTGCCTCCCCCGGCAACACCCTCTTATTCCAACTTCTCGAGCCCAGGCTGAGAAACTTCCCGCCATCTGCTGACACCTGTGAGTAGCCAGTGCAGGGGCGGCTGTGAGAAGGGGAAGATCCTGGGGGTCAGGCTGGGCTGTTCCCCTCACACCCACACAGCTGCTGACCCCGCCAAAGATCCCACCAAAGACCCCGCCAAGTAGATTCTCCACCTGTCACCTGATGTTGGTCCTCAAAGGCAGCAAAGCACTGACTCCAGCCCACTGCCCCTCTCTTGGGCTCAGAGCCTCTACCCCCGCGAAGTGCCTGCTTTGTGCTGGGTGGGGTGCTGTGCACAGTTCTTTCTCCCTCTCTTAGGTCTGTGTAGCCCACTTTTACCGGGAATGCCCAGGCCCTTCAAAGTCCTTACTTGGACAACTGTGGCAGCCTCCAGCCTCACCTCCAACCTCAGTCACCTGGTGACAGACCGCTGAGTGCACACAGCACCCCCATCCTCCTCCTCAGCCTTGGTCCTGCCCACGACGGCCACTCAGTAAAATTCTACCCATTGCCAGCAGGCACTCTTCATTTCTGAAGTTGACAAGCCAAGAAATCCTCATGTTCTTTTAAGTCATAAAAGAAAACACAAATTGAACTAGAAACAGACTGTCTACCTTCCAAATTACCAGAGAAGAACAAGGAAAATACAGACCTGGAGAAAAGATAGGAAGCCCCAGTGAGCATTAAAAAACAGAAATGGAAAATGAGATGTCAGCTGAGCGCCAAGCATGCTTCTTCAAGCAGAAAGGCGGGTGAGCAGCATCAGAGCGCCCTGTGGGCCTGGCCCAGCTACCGCCCCCACCCAGGCCTGGAGAGTCCTCAGGCCGGGACATGGGTGCTCCCACACCACCCCCATCCTGCAGATGGGAGCTGCAGGGGTCGGGAAGTGGCCTGCCCAGGGTCACTAGGTCCTCAGGGCAGGCGCCAGGATTGAGTAAACAACATTAACGTATCCCTAAATCCACAAGAAAACCGGCTGCGAAGCCAGGTCAAAGAGCAAAGTGACTCAGGGGAACTTCCAAAGGTGGGTGGCGGGACATGAGACAGACAAAAGGCTAAACAATGAGAAGCCACAGGTTGTCCCCGAAAGCTGCACCGGTGAAGTACTGAATGGTTCCTCAAGCCCGTTAGAATGGCTGCACTCAAAAACAAAAGAACAAACTTTGGCAAGGCTGTGGAGGTGTTTTTTCTTCCCCGGCTCGGCTCTCCAAGGCTGGCTTCCCCACTGTGTGCTGGGGAGCCTGCGGCATGGCAGTGGTGGCCTCTCATGGATGCTGAGAACTAGGCACTGCTGGTGGGAATGCACCGTGGCATAGCCACCAGGGGACACGCTGTGGCGGCTCCTCAAAACGTGGAACACAGAACTGCCTGATGACCCAGCAATCCCACTTCTGGGTATATGCCCCAAGGAACTGAAAGCAGGGTCTCAGAGGTATCTGTCACGGCAGCCTGACTCACAGCAGCCCAGAGGTGGAAGCAGCCCACGTGTCCACGGACGAATGGATAAACAAAATGTGGTCTACTCCTAACAGTGGGATATTATGCAGCCTTCAAAAGGAAGGACATTCTTACTCAACTATAACATGGAATAACCTTAAGGACATCAGGCTAAGTGAAATAAGTCAGTTACAGAAGAAATGCTGTATGATTCTACTTCTACAGGTTCCTAGGGCAGTCAGATTCACAGACAGAAAGTAGAATTGTGGGTCCCAGGGGCTGGGGAAGGTGGTAAATCAGTGGGGTTTAGTGTTTAACTGGGACAAAGTTTCAGTTTTGCCAAATGAAAAAAGTTCCAGAGATAGATGGTGGTGATGGGTGTACAGCAATGTGAATTAATGGCAATAGAAGCTGCACACTTAAAATACGTAAGATGGTACATTTTATGTTGTGTATACTTTACTGCAATTAAAATTTAAGAAGCAATGACTGGGACAGAGGTTATGCTATAAGAAGTCACCATGGGCCAGGTGTGGTGGCTTACATCTGTAATCCCAGCACTTTGGGAGGCTGAGGTGGGTGGATCATGAGGTCAGGAGTTTGAGACCAGCCTGGCCAGCATGGTAAGATCCCCATCTCTACTATAAATACAAAAAATTAGCTGGGTATGGTGGTGCATGCCTGTAATCCCAGCTACTTGGGAGGCTGAGTCAGGAGAATCACTTGAACCCAGGGGGTGGAGGTTGCAGTGAGCCAAGATTGTGCCACTGCATTCTAGCCTGGGTGATAGAATGAGACTCTGTCTCAAAAAGCAAAAAAAAAAAAAAAAAAAAAAAAAAAAAAAAAAAAAAAAAAAAAAAAAAAAAAAAAAAAAAAAAGTCACCTTTGAGTCACATATGGAATTCCCCATCCTCTCCCTGCCCAGAACACACAGCAACACACACCCAGGGAAAGCAGGCAGAACCACAAAAGCAGTGCAGGTTTTCACACGATGTGCACACATGGGAAGCACCAAGATAAGGATACAGAGGCCCTAAGTATTAAATTTAATAGGATGACTAGCATGGGTACATAAAAATGCCACACTCCTCCCACAGGCTTAGGGGCCCTTTACAAAAGGAAACATTTGCAAGACCTTGAAGGAACCCACAATGCACACGAAGTGGTAGGTGTGGTTCCTGCTCTGTGCCTGACCACAGTGCAATTAAACCAGCCATGACGATTGGGAGCCCCTGAGATTTGTAAAACTTGCTTCCAAACAATTCACGTGCTAAAGAGGAAGTAGAAACCACAAGCACAGAGAATCCAGAAAACATCAACAAGGAGCACACAGCAGAGGGAAGCTCAGGGGCTACAGCCAAGCGGCCAAGCAGGGGCCTGATGACGTTCCATTCCTAAGCCAGAAAGAACAAAAACAAATGTGCTAGACATTCCAGAAAACGTGTACAGTAAGTAAACTCAAGAACTGTTGTTTTTTTTGTGGTGGGGGAATCAGCAGGGAAGAGACTAATAACAGAGATTAACCACTGTTCATTCTGATCAAGAAACAACATGAAAATACAAATTCACAAAATTGCACGCAAAATGACAAATGTTCACAGGTACGGAGGGAATTAGAAACATAACTGTCCACATAATGGTATGTTGGATAAAATGAACAACTTCAGAGGAAAATGTAAAACATCATAATTTCTGTAAGACACAGAAAACCCCAGGCAGGTGCAATGGCTCACGCCTGTAATCACAGCATTTTGGGAGGCTGAGGCAGGCAGATCACCTAGGGTCAGGAGTTCAAGACTAGCCTGGCCAACATGCTAAAACCCCATCTCTACTAAAAATACAAAAAACAGCTGGGTGTGGTGACTCATGCCTGTAATCCCAGCTACTTGAGAAACTGAGGCAGGAGGACCACTTGAACTCAGGAGGCGGAGGTTGCAGTGAGCTGAGACTGTTCCACTGCACTCCAGCCTGGGTGACAGAGCAAGACTCCATCTCAANAAAAAAAAAAAAAAAAAAAGAAAAAAAAAAAAGAACATAGAAAACTCAAGGGGTCCAATAACACAAGAAAGATACTGAAAACATTGCCAATTATCTATAATACGAAAAGGAGCCTGGCCCCGATGGCTTTGCAGAGGAAAATGAAGACCCTCTAGATTTTCAAGGAACGGCTTATTTCCATCGTCCCGACTGTCCTAGCACACAGGGAAAGAATAAAGGTCCACAATCGGTATCTTGGGAAGAAAACCCAGTGCTGGTAATAAAACTCCCAAGGGAAAGTACAGAGCAAGCTCACTCAGGAAGAACGAAGCTACACTGAGAACAAATAGTGGCCAACAGACGCACGAGGCTGCCGGAAGTCTGCACAGGGATGGAGGGAACACTCCATTCATCCCAGAAACACGGCCGCTTCACAGCCGCTCACCACTTCTCCTGTGTCACAGCCTCACCAGTGCCACCAGCCTGCCAGCCCCGAGGGAATGCCCAGCTGGGCAGGTAGCTGTGTCACATCAAACGGTTCTTCCTTCACAAGATAAAAGCGTACTTTACACATGAGAAGAAGATGCATTCTCCATCCCTCTCCCACCCCCACCCCTGCGAAAATGCAATAAGAAAAGCATCTGGCTCCAAAGGAGAAAGACAGAGATTTCAGGTGTTAACTCTTGACCACATGGCTCTGAACTGTGTGGGTCATCTATGTGAGGCTCATCTTCTGCCTCTGCCGTCACTAAGACAGCAAGACCAACCCCTCCTCTTCCTCCTCCTTCTTGGCCTCTTCAACATGAAGACCTTCATGATGATCCACTTACACTTAATGAAAAGTACATATATTTTCTATGGGTTTTGTTGAGATAGGATCTCACTCTGTCATCCAGGCTGGAGTGCAGTGGTACAATCTTGGTTCATTGCAACATTTGCCCCCTGGGCTCAGAGGTCCTCCCACTTTGGCCTCCCAAAATGCAACAATTGCAGGTGTGAGCCACCGTCCTGGGTCTAATTTTCTTAATAATACTTTCTTTTCTCTAGCTTACTTTATTCTAAGAATACAGTATAGGCTGGGCACAGTGGTTCATGCCTGCAATCCCAGCACTTTGGGAGGCCGAGATGGGCGGATCACTTGAGGTTGGGAGTTCAAGACCAGCCTGGCCAACATGGTGAAACCTGTCTCTACTAAAAATACAAAAATTAGCCGAGTGTAGAAGTGGGCACCTATAATCCTAGCTACTTGGGAGGCTGAGGCAGGAGAATCGCTTGAACCCAGGAGGTGGAGGTTGTGGTGAGCTGAGATTGCACCACTGTACTACAGCCTGGTGAAAGAGGGAGACTCAGTCTCAAAGAAAAAAAAAAGAATACAGTATATATACATGTAACATACAAAATATGGGTGAATTGACTGATGTTATCGGTAAGGCTTCTGCTCAATAGTAGACTATTAGTAGTTAAGCTTTTGGGGAGTCAAGAGCTACACTCGGGTTTCTGACCACGTAGAGGGTGGGCGCCCCGCCTCTGCGTTGTTCAGTGGTCACCTATATTCCCATTGCCAGCAGCAAAGGAAGGCAGCTGCTGTCACTCCCCTAGTCAGTGGCGAGTTGCTCTCTACACAGTGAGACTGGAGAACAAAACGGAAAATTGGTAGGAGGTGGCAGGACCACCCTAGGTGACGGGTGACCTTAGAACCTGCCTGAAGAAGCCAAGCAGGAGGCAAAAAACCTAAAAACAAAAACAAGCATGAGGTGACACCAGTCACAAAACGAACACAGAAGAGGAGCTGCCTCCTAGCCCAGCAATGACCAGCTAGGAAAGAAACCGGGGGAAATATCCCAATCCAAGTAGCAGCCAAAAAGCACGGGATTCCTAGACACTGAATGAGTCATCTGCAGGAGAATCGAAATCCCTGTGGAAGGACCTGGATGCAGACGTGGGCGTGGAGGAGCAGACGGCTGTTTCTTCAACAGTGGTCTTGATGTAATCCTCCCTGATCGGTTAATACATTCAGTGCAATTGCCGTGAAAACCCCTCAAATACGTAGCCATTGATAACGGTTGCTAGGAAATGAGGGTAAATTCCAGATGCATCAAAGGCTTGCGTATTGAAAACCGTCAGGCCCTGCAGGAAACCTCCATACGCAGGCTCTCTGGTTTCACTTCCTGAGGGCGGCTTTCGCTGCTGCCTCTTCCACAAGGGACTCTGCATCTGCCTCCCCTCCCCACCAGCCACATCAAGGTGCCTAGTGGTACCTGGGGCCCATTTCTTTCTCTGTCCTCCCTGGCTGTCCTCTCTGGCCCCTTACCAGGAGCCTGGGCCCTTCTCCACCCATTCACACCAGCCACCCCTCCAAGCAAGGATTTGACATTGTCCAGACCCTGCTCCTACCAGAAACCCCTCTCTGGGCCATACCTCTTTCTGAGCCCTAGATTTGCACAGACTCCTGCCTATGTACCATCGCCCCTCGGAATCCAAGGGGAATGCTGAACCCCACGTGGATCCTGAGGATAGAGCCGCCAGATGCCGCAAATGACAGGATGCCTTGCGAAATCTGCATCTCAGAGAAACTGTGGTTTGGATGCATGTCCCTGATATTGCACGAGGCATACTTGTACCAAAACTCCTTGTTTATCTGAAATTCATTTGCCTGGGGCTCCCATGTTTCCTGGCAGCCCCGGCTGTGGCGCCATCTCCCCTCCCCTTCCCTGTCCTGCCCTCCCTGCTCCCCCAGGTGCCCTGTCAGGTGCTGTTCTTCATTCCAAGCGATGGACTGGGGCCCATCACTTTCACCTCCGGGACTCCCTGGAACCTCCCACTCCTACCCTTGCCTGGCCTCCTGTCCATGCTGGGGG